TTCCAGCCTTGCACTGCTCTCTGCCTCGAGGGCTGCCCTGCTATGGGCAACGAAGCAGGGCCCCGCTGATGTCTCTCTTCGCACGGCGCTGCAAACTCCTCCTCTCTCTTCTAAGATTCCTCTCTTCCCCTCCTGCAGCGCCAATACCTCTCTCCCGACAGTTTTCGGGACGAGAGCGGAAGCAGCTCAGCGTCCATGCTCTCGGGCTTCTCGTGTGCAGCCTGTGCCAGTCTTGTTGGCCGCTGCGCTCAAGCTACTTGCAACGAGCTAAGTACAGTCAAAAAGCCTCCTCCTCCTCCTCCTCCTCCTCCTCCTCCTCCTCCTCCTCCCTCGTCCTCCTCCTCCTCCTCCTCATCCCTCGTCCTCCTCTCTCCTCCTCCTCCCTCCTCCTCCTCCTCCTCCTCCTCCTCCTCCTCCTCCTCCTCCCCTCCGCCTCCTCCTCCTCCTCCTCCTCCCCCCTCCTCCCTCTTCCCCCTCCCCCTCCCTCCTCCCTCCTCCTCTCCCTCTCCCTCCCTCCCTCCTCCTCCCTCCTCCCTCCTCCTCTCCTCCTCCCTCCTCCCTCCTCCTCCTCCCTCCTCCTCCTCCCTCCTCCCCTCCTCCTCTCCTCCCTCCTCCTCCTCCTCCTCCTCCTCCTCCTCCTCCTCCTCCTCCCCTCCTCCTCTCTCTCCTCCTCCTCCTCCTCCTCCTCCCTCCTCCCTCCTCTCCTCCCTCCTCTCTCCTCCCGCCTCCTCCTCCTGGCTGGCGGAGGCGCGCTGTCGAGACATTCTGCCGCGGAAAAATCAGGGACCGCAGATGCATGCACTTACGGAGGTCCGCGCGGATGTCTTGCATCGGCGCGAGGCCCCCCACTCCTCCTCCTCCTCCTCCTCCTCCTCCTCCTCCTCGTCCTCGTCCTCCTCCTCTTCCTCCTCTTCCTCATCCCCCTCCTCACGCAGGGAAGCGTGGTCCAGCGCCGATGCAAGACATCCGCGCGGACCTACGAACGTTTCATGTTTATGCTGTTTCTCGCTCCGCTGGCATCACCACGAGAGCGTTGGTCAAGGTCACGAGGCCCTTCGCCAAAGGCCCATGTCTCTCATTGAGATGTCCATGCCGAAGAACACTTCCGGGTCGAAAAGCTTGAGCGCGAAGAACGCAACGGTATCCTTCGATGGACGGTGGTGGGTGGAGGCTCATCCAGGATCGAGGGGTCGACCACGAAGGTCCGGGACTGCAGATTACTTAAGGATCGCGATCGCCGCATCTAGGAGGACGAGCAGGGGGCGTCTAGCGCACTCACCCCCAACGGATCCAAGGGCCGCTGCGAGGGCGCGAAGTTTTTCGCGGCTCGCGACTCACGACTCCTCATCCTCATCCTCCTCGTCCTTCCCTTCTCCCCCTGGGGGCAGGCGCGAGAACGCAAAGTGATTCGCGTTTCGGGGCAGCGCGAAGCGCAAGCATAGCTTCCTTCGAGGACCTCGGAGGAGGGCCACTTGAAACAAAGGTTGCTCTCCTGCCCAGCCCTCACCCGCCCAAGAACGATTCCCGGACTTCTCCCTGTCCTGGCCCGTTTTTCGAGTCGCATCCAGTCATGGCGACGAAGCCTGCCGGAGACCTAGAAAGGACGAAAGATAATGACGTTTCGCGTATCCCCACCAGTGTTTAGTTGCTAATTAGGCCGCTTTCGTGACCCGTAGCGCTCCTGACTCCGCTAGCGCCTTCGCTGGTGGACGCGACCGAAAAAGTATCCCCACCAGCCTTTTCTGGCGCAATTAGCTCGTAGTTTGCTTGCTGCGACCTTGACGGCGCCTGGCGTCCTCCGGTGCGCTCGCGATCAAAAAAATATCCCCACCAGCCCATCTAAATTTCGCGTATCTCCACCAGCCCATCCAAAGGCAGGCGCCAGGCGAGTTGCCTTGATCAGGGACGTGTAGCCGCCTGGTTGCGTGCTGAGTGGTTGCCTGTCGTTGCCTGCGGTGCCTGTATTGCGTCGTGCGTGCCCAGGGCCGCCTCAGTGGAGTAGTTGCCTGTCGTTGCTCGCCGTGCCTGTGTTGCTCTGGGCAAGCAAACACCGATGACGCGCGCGCTGGTTCTCTAGCAGGCAGGGAGCGACGACAGGCAGCCACTCAACCAAGGCAGCCGCGGGAAGCGCGGGACGACGACGACGACGACGATCTTTGGACCCCTCCCCATCCTGATTCGTTTTCCGAGGTGTATCCGGCCGTGGCGACGCGGGGTTTCCAGGAGGCCCAGGCAAGACGATCATCTTGACGTGGCCACCCTCCGAAGATCGCCACCCGCAGGGCGCTGAGACGACCACGACGGACGGACGGACGGGGACGGACGGCGCTTGGCGGTGGCGACGCTCCACGGCGGCGGCGACGGTCGACGGTGTGCTGGCGCCGGAGGCGGCGGCTCCAGAGGTGCGGCGGAGGGCAGGGAAGCCGTCGTGGCTCTGGACGGAACGGGGGGGGGGGGACGGAGGATCGGGTGAGAAGGATCGACGGGTCGAGGGGCCGTCAGGCTATCCAGCCTCAGGGTGCGTTCCTGCAACTGCGCCTCGCCAAGGGCGTTCCGGGGGTGCCCAAGGTCGTTTCTAACTCGGTATTGTTGAACCGATTCCCATCCCCATCCCCATCCCCTTCGAGGCCCCCGCCAAATTAGCCCCCCAGTTGGGGATACACCCCTCGAAACCCGAAGGACACAGCCTGTATCCCCATCTAGGGGGGTAGATCGGCCAGTAGGGCCCAGGCCACGCCGCTGGGGATGGGGATCGCTTAAACGATACTCACTAACGCCCAGCGGGGAGCCGAGCTCTAGGGGGATGGGCTCAGGGGGTATGCATCGATCCCACATTCTCCATGCATCGTTGGCAGCGGCCTGACAGCCCGCCCGCCCAGCAGTGTGCGGTCTCGCTATCGGGGGCTTCATCGCCGATCAGTCAGCCATGTATCACCCATTCCAGGTCCATGGTTTCCTCACTGAGCTGGTCTATTGGTCGCATTCGTCCTCGTTTCCACGTGGAGCTGGTACTCCAGATTTCGTAATAATGGGAGGGGGGTCTCATTTCGGGGGGGGGGTCTCTTCCAAACTATCTTGGAGTGCCTGGGGGGGTCTGGGGACGATGTTTTGGAGGGTTCTCCCACGGGGGGGGGGTCTGAAATGGCTTGTCTTGGAGGGTCCAGACCCCCTCCCTTTTATTACGAAATCTGGAGTACAGTTCACACCAGGTGACGCCGCGCAGGACGAACACTGCCTTGGCGAACGGCCCAACCATATGTGGTTGCAAGTATCGTAGTTGTGAGCGCCGCCTTGTGGAGCTCCCTCTGGGGCCACGGATAGTGTGAGGGGTGTGCCGAAATGGGTGCGGTGACGTCATTCGAACCCTGCCACTGGGGCCTTCGGTGGAGCTTGTTATTGGGCCACGAAGCGCGTAACGGGTGTGCCGACATGGGCGCGGTGGCTCCATGCGAACCCTGCCACTGTGGCCTTCGGTGGCCCTCCTACGGGCCCACGAAACGTGTGAGGGGTGTGCCGAGATTGGTGCGTTGGCGCCATGCGAAGCCTGCCACTGGGGCCTTCGGTGGAGCTCCCCATGGGCCACGAAGCGTGCGAGGGGTGTGCGGATATGGGCACGGTGGCGGCATGCGAACCCTGCCAGTGGGGCCTTCTGTGGAACTCCCTATGCGGCCACGAAACATGTGAGGGGTGCGCCCAAATTGGCGCGGTGGCTCCATGCGAACCCTGCCAGTGGAGCCTTCGGTGGAGCTCCGTAAGGTGCCACGAAACGTGTGAGGGGTATGCTGACGTGTGAGGACATGCGGAGGGCATAGGCAAGGAGGGGGAGGCAGGAGAAGGGGGAGGAGGAGGAGGAGAAAAGGGGAGGAAGGAACGCGGGGCGCTGTCTCTTCAAGACGAGGACCCAACAACAGGTCGGTTGGGGAAAACATGAGCTGCCCCCCGCTATCGGTACTTTCCTCGGGCCACGGGGCCTCCAGCGGCCGCTCGGGGACGATCCGGGCACCACCAGAACTTTCTCGGCGAGGCGCAGCTGCTGGAAGGCACCCCGAGGCTGGAAAACCGTGGAATCGACGAAGCCGCCCGAACTCTTCGAACTTCGGATCTCGAACGTCGTCGTCGTCGTCGTCGTCGTCGCCGCCGCCGCCGCCGCCGCCGTCGTCGTCGTCGTCGTCGTCGTCGTCGTCGTCGTCGTCGTCGTCGTCGTCGTCGTCGTCGTCGTCGTCGTCCTGCCGTTCCCCTTGATCGGCGGCGAGCTCAGGGGGGCGTGCAGTGCGAGGGGCCGGGCCTTCTCGCAGGGCTCGGAAGGCCTCGGGCCTGCCGAGGAGCTCTCGGAGCCTCCGGAGACAGAGGGCGGCATCTCCGGGGCCCGAGGGTTTCTGCGAAGCCCCGCCGCCTTCCAAGAGGGCCTGCGCCCTCTACCAGGGGGAGGAGGAGGAGGAGGAGGAGGAGGAGGAGGAGGAGGAGGAGGAGGAGGAGGAGGAGGAGAAGAGGGAAGAGGGGGAGGAGGAGGAGGAGGAGGAGGAGGAGGAGAAGAAGAAGAAGAAGAAACATAGTAGTCATAACGTGGCAGATATGTTGTGGCGGGGACGCTGGAAGAGGACTGCTCTCCTGCCGCTTCCCCCCCGGGTGCTCCGCCGACTTGAGCCCACCCTGCATTGGCTCGGCGTCTGCACGCGCGTGGTCTTGCATGTGTGTTTACAGGTATGTCTCTTCTGACGAACGAACCACACGCACCCGTGCCCATAGGGGGGACAACAAAAACTATGGGTGCGTGCTGTCTGCTGGGGGTCCCCGCCCGACCGGAAGCCCCCCCCAGGGTCCGACACTTTTCGCACCCACATCCATAGCCAGCCCTTCTCCCTCCGATATATGGGTACGGGTGTGTGTTGTTCGTTCGTCATCCTCCGCATGCCATGTCCTGCCGACGCGCCGCCGGGGCGCGGCGCTTGCCTGCCCTGCTTCTGCCAGTGCGACCCTCCTGCCCTGCTCGGCGCCCCGAGGCCTGCTCCGACGACTGCGGCGGCGGCCAGCACTCGCGCGTGCGCCTCCTGTCCAGGCCGCCGCAGAACGGAGGACCCCCGCGCGCGGGGGCGGCGGCGGCGGCGGGCGCCCTGGCCTCTCGAGCGGGGCCAGAGCCTTCCGAGCTTCGGGGAGGAAAGATGCCGATGCCGCTGCTCGTCCTGGAGAGCCCTCGTCGCCACGGCTGGGTTCTCCAGGAGATTCTGGTCAGAGCGCGTCCCTGGAGAGGGCAGGGGAGTCGTCGCGGTATCGGTACTCTGTCCTTCCCCCAGAGTTGGTGGGCGGGGGGGTTCGCATCGCGTTCAGGGGCGAGTTTGGTGCGCGTGCGGGGGGGCCTATGCGGGCCGTCGGTCGGGCGGCATATGGGGGGGCGGTGCTTCCTTCGACGACTCGAAGTCGACGGGGATGAAGGATCTCGAATCTTATAACATATTACGACCAATCAGTTTGGCACCTGCGTGCAGATTTCTTGGATCTGCGCTGGACCCCCCCCCCTGTCGGCGCATCCCGCGCCGCCCCTGGCCTGCTCCGCGCGCCAGGGAGGGGGGGCTCAGCGTCGATCCAAGAAATCCGCGCGGACCTCCGAAAGTCTACGTCTATGAAAGCCTCCTCCTCCTCCTCCTCCTCCTCCTCCTCCTCCTCCTCCTCCTCCTAGACGTCCGAAAGTTGGTTCCAGGACCTCACCGCGTCGCCGCGGCGCGATCCAAAGCCCGATCTTCTCCGTCCCGACGCTGCCGGTTCATCGACACTGCCTCGGCGATGCGGTGGGGCCTCCCGGCCCTGCGTGCTCTGGCCCCACTCGGGAGGCATCCAGATGGGGGAGCATCGCCATGAAGGAGAGTCAAGGGAAGGAAACACACGCGGACCCGGCAATTGACATTTGCTATACGGCCCTGGGCGGTTACCGAACAGCCCTACCCTGTTCGCTTCCTCCTTCGGGTGCGTTGACTGAACGGCTCCGCTTGTCGGGGTGCCTATCATAGGTGTGGATTTGTCCCTCTCTAGAGAGGGTCGGGGGTGGACAGAGCCCCCACCCTGACACGTCGATTAGTATGAAATTTCCGTTTTCGGTTCTCGAGAGGGCGCCGCGGCCGTCATTTTTCAGGCTTGTGCCCGCCAGGTTTGGGCCTTAGGTCCTTTTCATTAAACCCCGTTCTACTAAAGGGGGTTCTGTCCATCCCCGAGAGTGGTCCTGAGGAGAATGGCTCCCGGGGCCCGCTTGTGAAAAAGAGCTGGTCCCAGGGGGAGGAGCCCCAGGAGCCAGGGTAGGAGGAGGAGGAGGAGGAGGAGGAGGAAGAAGAGGAGGAGGAATGATGGCGGCGTCAGTACGACCCAAGCGCCACTAACTCCAAGCATTGGAGGAGGAAAGGAGGGCAGGAGGACAGGAAAAGAGAGGGGTCATGAAAAGATGAGGAGAAATGAGGATGTGCAGGACGATTGGGGAGGAAGAGAACGAGGAGGAGGAGGAGGAGGAGGAGGAGGAGGAGGTTGAGGAGGTCGGGTTCCGCTTCGTGCTGCTTCTGTGGTTTTCCCCCTGCCTTTGCTGCTGCTGCTGCTGCTGCTGCTGCTGCTGCTTCTCCTCCTGGGCCTGCCGTGCAACGCCTCGGACAAGGTTTTGAGAATAATCAATTGCAAAAGCGTACACTTTTGAAGGTCCGCGCGAAATTGTTGGATTGGCGCTGCCCGCCCCCTCTGGCGGCGCCTCTGGCGACGCCCCGTGCGCGCTCCGCACGACATGGATGTGGACCCAGCGCCGGTCCAAGAAGTTTAGCGCGGACCTCCAACAAATCATGCTTGTGCAAGCGTTTCTTCTTCGACCCTTGTCCGAGGCGTTGCACGGCATGCCTGGGAGGGGGACAGCGGCAGCGAGGGAAGGGAAAATAGCATGCGGCGAGAGCCAGACTTGGTCGTATTCCTCTTCCTCTTCTTCTTCCTCCTCTACCTCCCCCTCCTCTTCCTTCTCATCATCTTCATCATCATCAGCAGCAGCATCAGCATCAGCAACAGTTTCATCATCATCACCATCGCCATCGCCATCACCATAACCATCATCATCATCATCATCATCATCATCATCATCATCATCATCATCATCATCATCATCATCATCATCATCATCATCATCATCATCACTAACATCATCATCATCATCATCATTATCATCATCATCACTAACATCATCATCATCATCATCATCGTCATCATCATCATCATCATCATCACCATCACCATCAGCATCAGCATCAGCATAATCCTCGTCGTCGTCATCAGCATCAACATCATTATCATCGTCATCGTCGTCGTCGTCGCCGCCGTCGTCGTCGTCATCGTCATCGTCATCGTCAGCATCATCAGCATCATCAGCATCATCAGCATCATCAGCATCTGCATCTGCATCAACATTATCATCACCATCATCATCATCAGCATTAACATCACCATCATCACTATCATCATCGAATTTTGTTCCTCATCAGCCAACACATTCCTCAGTCCTCGTCCACATCCTCACTCCTGCTCCTCCTCCTCCTCCTTTCATCCCATCCCTATTCCTACCCCTGCTGCTGCTCCTCTCAGGCCTGCCGTGCAACGCCTCGGACAAGGAGCAGGTCGGGCCCTGCAACACGCAGTCCTGCTCCGCGGAATGCGTGGACGGCAAGTTCGGCGACTGGGAGGCGCGCCGCCAGCCGTCGGCCGCACTACTCGCGGCCCTGCGGCCTCTGCTGACCGCTCGGGCTGGGTCCGGCAGAGGACGAGGCGGTCCACGATGACGAAGTAGGATGAGGAGGAGGAGGAGGAGGAGGAGGAGGAGGAGAAGGAGGAGGCCCACCGTCGCCTAATTGCGCCGTGTTTGTCAGGGTGCGTGGCTGCGCGTGCCATAGACTGTGTCGCCGCGACAGAGGACGAATGATTCGCGGAGGAGGAGGAGGACGAGGAGGAGTAGGAGGACGAGGAGAACGAGGAGGAATAATGTGCGGAGGAGCAGGAGGAAGAGGCGGGTAAGAAATTCGCGGAGGAGCAGGAGGAGGGGGAAGAGCAGGAAGAGGTGGAGGAGGAGGAGACGGAGGATGAGGGAGAGGCGGAACAAACATAATCAAAAGAGAGCAAGGAGGAAGAGGAGGACGACTTGGAGAACGAGGTGAAAAAGGCGGTCGAAGAGGATGAGGAATTCGCGGAGGAGCAGGGGGAGGTGGAAGAGGCCGCGGAGGAGGAGGAGGAGGAGGTGGAGGAGGAGGAGGAGCAGGAGAAGGAGTAGGAGGAGGAGGTCGAGGAGGCTCAGAGATTCGCGAAGGAGGTGGAGGCGGGTCTGTGGTCTGGGGACCGATGTTGAGCTGACGTTATCTCAACTCGCCCTGCCGCTCCTGGGGGACCACCTCGTCTGAGAGGCGGTGGGGGAGTGCCCCGGCTCCCGACCAAGGAGCTCTGGCGGTCGGGCCCGCGGCCCGGCGGAGGCAGAGGCAGAGGATGAGGAAGTCTCGGAGGAGGGACAGGAAGCGACGATGGAGGGGGGAGGAGAGAGCACACCTGCTCCTGAGGCCGTCTACGAGGCATGCAGAGAAGATGGAGGGGGGAGGAGAGAGCACACCTGCTCCTGAGGCCGTCTACGAGGCATGCCCCATCGAGGCCGTTTCCCTTGCCATGCTGGATCGTCTGGGCGCGCGCATCGGTTGTGCTCCTTGTGTTATCTAGTCCACACGTCCGTCCCGCCAGATAGGGGACGGCACTCGCGCCGCGAGTCCGACCTGGTTCCGACGTAAGTCCGACGTGAATCCGACGCAAATTGGGTCTCGAGTTACCGCGCGAAGTCTCCAGGATCTTTTTCGTAACATGTCACGGCTTTCGTTTCGTGCCCCCCTGGGGTTGCGCTTCTAGTCCGGCCATATAATATAGGGAGGCCTTGGGGAGCTTGGCTCTTCGGTAGCAAGTCATTCGAGCCTAAACCCTCGCAGTTCTGCGTTTAGAGTGCACTCGCGTCGATTTAGCGCTTGGTGATCGATGGGATATCGCCGATTTAGTGCCGATCCAGGTCGCTTAGCGTCGAGTTGGTGTAGCGTCGATCAGCGCTGATTCGCAAGAGCCATCCAGATTGTGCGGGAGGCTCCCGCGAGTTGCCGCAGAAGGGGCCCCGAGGGAGCCCGGCTCTGCTCTCCTGGTGGTGCCGCGGCCGCGGCCGCTCGGACGATGCTGCGCTGGCACGGCGGCGCGCCGCCCCTTCCTCGATGGTCTCGAGGGCCGCGGGCTTTCCGGTCTTCGGCTGAGGTTCTGTTTCGATGGCACTCCTCGCCTTCCTCCACGGGCCCACGGCTCTTACCATTCGGGGCTGGACAGAACCCCCAACAGTGACACGTCGATTAGTGAATTGTCCGTTTTCGGTTCTCGAGAGGGCGCCATGGCCGTTATTTTCCAGGCTTGCGCCCGCCAGGTTTGGGCCTCAGGCTGTTTTCACTAAACCACGTTTTACTAAAGGGGGGTCTGTCCATCCCCGAACCATGGGCCTCCCAGATGGGGTCGTAGCAGGTTGGGTCGGAGGATCGCGCCGCGTCGCCGATTCATTTGCGATGCGGCTCGATGTGGAGCCCGAGTTCCTCCGCGCCGGCGTCGCCGACGCATCGCCGACGTCACAGGTACATCGCCAATGCATCGCTGATGCATCGGCGATGCATTGGCGATACGGTTCGATCTTCGGACCCCATGTTCTCGGTCTCATCGAGGAGGCCTTTTGCTAAGATCTCCTCTGTCCGCTCGACCTGCTCCCAAGAGCCGGTCCAGCGCCCAAAGAGCCAAGAGGGCCCGTCCAGGTCTTGTGGCCTTTTGAGGTCTCTCGGGCACCCCTCGGACTCCCGAGTGATGCAGTGCCAGCAGCTGACGGCCACCCAGAGGGAAGCCAGGTGAGCGACGCAGGACACCAGGGTCGTGCGAACGGACGGTGTCGCACAATGTGCCCGCCAGCGGCCCGCGTAATCCGCGGCGTAATCAGACCGCCATGCCATCTTGAGTAGAACCCGCTTCTTTTCGTCGCCCAGGTCTCTTGAGTTGGCCAGGCGAGCCCAGTTTGCCGAGGCGAGGCGCCGACCCGTCCTCCCCTTCCCCCCTGGGCGCCGTCCGCCCTTGCTCCTCCTCCTCCTCCTCCTTGTCGTCGTCGTCGTCGCCCTCTTTGTCCTCTTCTTCTTCTTCTTCCTCCTCCTCCAACTCGAACAGTAGCTCACCTGTCCCTTCTCACCTTTGCCGGTTGTAATGGTCTCCCCCCTTCCGCTGTTGTTTCTGTTCGGGGGCACGGAAGCTGGCCAAGCTTCTTTGCCCGCTTCGAGCATTATGCATCAAGCCTTAGACCATTATGCGCTGCACTCCTGGACCACCAGAGTACATGGCAGCGAGCCAGTACAGCCGATGCCCAGTCGCGTGGGGTGCGTCGGAGGGAGCCGCAGACGGCCAAGGGCATGCAGCTCCGCATCTTCAAGAGGTGCAGCAGGGCGACACGCTCGTGGTCCAAAAGCCTCACGACCGTGGAGGAGGCGCGATTGACCAGGTGTTCGGCACCACGGCCTACCGCCTGCAGATCGGCCACAGGACCCTCCAGTCAACGAGTGAGCCCTACGACCAGCCCTTGAAGAGTACGGACAAGGCGCTCCTCGGCTTCTACCGCCAGCGTGAGAAGATCGCCACGTCGTTCGCCCGCTTGGAGAGGATGAAGAGCCTCAGCTTGAGCCGGCGCAGGTGGTCGTTACGCTGAAGGTGCAGCTCGACGACATCGGAGGGGCGACCCACCAGCTCAACGGGTACTTTGGCGATCGCGGGCGCACGACGATTGGGCCCTTCCCGTGGGAGCTCGACTTCACGCACCGCCAGTGTGACGAGCTGGAGGGCGTGTGCACCAAGTGGATCCGCAACGAGCAGGGCTGGGGCTACGACGAGGCCGCCACGAACGCCGCCGTCAAGGCCGAGACCCCCGCCACCAGCGGCCTCAATGCGCTGCTCCAGAGCCCGCGGCCGCCGCGCGCCAGCCCCAGCCCAGTCGAGGAGGATTGGATCCAGTGCCAGACGGCGATCCAACCACAGCCGTCGAAGCAGCCCATCCCGTTGCCGCGCGGTGATCTGCGCCTCAGCGACCCGACGGTTGCCAAAGCGCCGGGAGTTGGGTGGTCCCATCTTCCAGCTTCCATCAAACATCGTCCTGTCTGCTTGCCCGCACTTAGCCTCATTGTGGTGCGGCTCTCCATGCAGCGAGCGACTGAGCAGGAGGAGCTACGCCCCGTCTGTCCCTCCACCCACCCTCGACCCAAACGAAGCCGTTTTTTGTGGGATGGTGGAGGGGGGGAGGGGGAGGGGGGAGGAAGAGCCCTCGGCGAGCGCTGCCTTGCCCTCCTATCGAGGAGGGCGGCGGCGGCGACTCGTCGCCCGCAGTGCCGCGCATCGTTCCCGAGAGCGGGGTCCCCCCGCTGGCGGGGTTCGGGGCCAGCCTCGCACGAGGCAGGCCCCGTGCCCCCAGGCGGCTCCCAGGCCCATCAGACTGCAAAGGGGGTACGCCTCCATATTATACCCAGGGGCCCCGCTCAGCTTTCAGTTTTGAGGCGCCGAGGACCTCCGACGGCTGCACCCTTATCCTTATCCGTATGCTGGTCTTGATATGTATTATTACCCGTACCGTTAGCATTATCAGTATTATTCTCTTCATCCCGATCCTTATCTTTATTCCTATCCCTATCCGTATCCCTATCATTATCATTATCCTTATCATGTCCTCCTCGTCCTCCTCCTCCCCCTCCTCCTCCCCCTCCTCCTCGTCCTCCTCCTAGTCCTCCTCCTCCTCCTCCTCCTCCTCCTCGTTCTCCCCCTTTTCCTCCTCCTCCTCCTCCTCCTCCTCCTCCTCCTCCTCCTCTTCCTCCTCCCCCTCTTCCCCCTGGGCCGCGGGAACCGGGGAGGGGGGCCGGCCAGGCGTGGGGCTCGTGCACCGCCACATGCGACGGAGGCGTTCTCCGCGGGGGGGCTGCGCCGCCAGGGGGGGTGGGGGAGGAGGGGCAGGAGGATGGAGAGGAGGGGGCGGAGGGGGAGGAGGAGGGGGCGGAGGAGTGGGAGGGGGGATGCACCGGGTGAAAGAATGGATGCGGGTGCACCGCCGTGCCCCACGGGCGGCCCGCGCTCCGCGCGGGGAGATGATTCGAGCAAGGTCCCCAGGGGCCAGGCCAGCCCGGGAGACAGGGCCGCCACGCCCCAACCCCTGGGCCCATCCAGGCACTGGGTAGGTGCCCCCGGCCTTCCAAGCCGAGTCCAACAGTGGCGACGCTGACCCGATCGGCGAAACACTGCCTACGGCTCCGCGCGCCGGCCATCATCGGGCGCACTCACTTGCAGGCATCAGACGCTTGGCCTGCGGAGGGCCGCAGTGGAGGTGCACCCAACCCCGTGTTTGCCAGCCCTGTCCGAAGGCGTGTTTAAGTGAATCTCTTTCGGGGACGCCCGTAGCGTCGCAGGCATTGAACTGCGCGGCCCCGTCGAAGGTGCCCACGATCCCCGGATGGCAGCCAGCGCCGCCTCTCGGAGACGATGCGCTCCATCGAGGCCGAGCTTCCTCATGAGCTCAGTCGCGCGCCTCTCGGCCTCGTACTCGTCCAGGCCGTGCTGCATCTCGCCAGTGGGGCGTCCCGCCTGCAACAGGCTCAGCTCCTCAACGAAGGAGGGAAGAGGGAGGAGGAGGAGGAGGAGGAGGAGGAGGAGGAGGAGGAGGAGGAGGAGGAGGAGGAGGAGAGGAGGAGGAGGAGGAGGAGGGAGGGAGTGGGAGGAGAGGGAGGGGGGAGGAAGGCCACATCCGACGGAACTTCATGCCATCAGGTCGTCAGCTCGTCAGGGGGAGGAGGAAGAGAGGAGGAGGAGGAGGAGGAGGAGGAGGAGGAGGAGGAGGAGGAGGAGGAGGAGAGGAGGAGGAGGAGGAAGAGGAGGAGGAGGAGGAGGAGGGAGGAGGAGGAGGAGGAGGACGAAGAGGAGAAGGAGTAGGAGGAGGATAGTAAGGAGGGGGAGGTGGAGGTGCAGGGGGTGAGCAGGAGGAGGGGGAGGACGGATGCCAGCGCCTCTTCGTCCGAAACGCTGAGGGGGGGCAACTGCGCCGTCTGCATGAGAGGCTTCCTCGAAACCTTCGGCCATCGTGGCATGCACAAACCCGAAAAGAAGCTGCACGGCCGGACCTGAAGTCGCGGTTTTTCTTTTCCTGTCTCGGGCCGGGCGAAATTTGCTGTATGCAGCTGATTTCGGCCTCACCAAGGGGCCCATTCCGCGATACATCGCCGCCTCCGGCGCCGGGATGCGCCGGGAAAATCAGCTACGTGAGCTGATTCTCAAACCCCTCCCTTGCTATCCCTCCCTTTCGCCCGACCCGACTGTCGACCACGTGAGATGCATGGACAATTTCTTGGTTCGGGTCCTCGCATGGGTCCGGTGCCCGGGAAGAACGCTGCCAACTCTCCTGGAAGGTCGGAGGTGACCTGCTCCATTCCCTGTGGCACACCCGTGCCCGATCGAGCAGGAGTCGGAGTGCACTGCTGTGGCCACCTCCTCGCAGCACACAGCCCTCGAGGGAGCCCTCGAGGTGCCATGTCGGAGTGCACTGCTGTGGCCATCCCCTCGCACGCAGCTCGGGGGCCCTCTCCTCCTCGGGGGCAGCCCTCGAGGCACCGTCCCCGCTCCTCCCCCCCCCCGAGCGCCTGCCGGACACGACGGGACTGGGGACCCCTGCGGCCCCCCGGCGCGCAGGCACGGCCGCGCGGCACCGCAGGGTGGCCCGCACGGCGAACGAGTGCGGCCGGGTGGCGGAGGGCAAGGCCTCCGAGGCCACGCGCTGCCGTGCCCGCCGCCGCCGTTGGGTCGCCGTCGGCGGCGTCGCGTCGGACGATCGGTCGGATCGTCCGAGGCCTGGGCCGCGGTGGGGGTTTCGGAGGGTCGGCCAGGTCGTTTCGGGTCGGGCCAGCGAGGTCGTGCCGTCGAGACTCGGAGTCTGGTCGGTGGGGTCGGTCGAGTCGTCTCGGACGGTCGGTCGGGCTGGCCGGGTCGCTTCGGTCGGTCGTTTCGTCGAGGTTCGAGCTTTGAGGTTTGGGACGGTCGGTTCGGTAGTGTTTTGCTTGCGCTGTCGCTTTGGACGGCCTTGAGCAGGAGGATCCAGACCTCCACCGTTTTGGCAAACATCTCCGCGGAATGTTTCGCCATTTTTGGTGTCCAGAGTCCGTCTTTGGGCCCTGAGGTTGTCCGACAACGATGTAGGATGGAAACCGAGCCTTGGGAAGGGGTCGTGTGGTCCGGGAGCCACGTATTGAACAGACCACGATGTTGGAGGCTTGGGGAGGGATGTCGCAGGCGCGTTCCAATTTTATTAACGAAATCGGAGCTGCCGTGTTTCCGACACGCTTGCGTTGCCTGCGCCGAGTCACGCGCAGCGCGTGCGTTGATGAAACGACAGCGCCCGCGGTGCGCACCATAGCGCCGCCATGATGCGGCGATGCCTGCACCCTACGCTTTCACGCGCCTGGGGTACCCGCGCCCAGTCGCGCGCTTTGAGCTCCGCGGAACGGAGCGGCGGTTGGACCGCGCGTCCTCGGCGCGACGTTGCTGCTTTTGCGCGGAGCAGGCAATTTCGGCGTGGAAAGCATTGATGCCCGCGTTCGAGATGACCTTGCGCCCGTCCACCGGCGCGCCTGCCTCACCTACCAGGTCGCGGGGCCTGGACAGGGCGTTCCGATGTTTGCCTTGAGCTGACGTTCGGTGGTGGAAGATGGAAAGCAGGATTGAGCCAAAATGGACACGGACGGCATCGCTGTGGCCGCGGAAATGACGGCGACGGTCTTTAACGGCCATGGCGACGGGGCAACCCTTGCAGCTGCGATCGCGAGCATCTGCAGTGCCGTGCATCCCGTCACGCGAATCGGCTTCCAGCAGGGCGTCCCTGCCTCGTCTGGAAGATGCGAGAGAGAAAGAGTCAGGAGGGGAAAAAACACACAGACACAATTAATCGGCGATTCCTAGAAAATATGGGAAAATATGGGAAGTGGGGGGGAAGACAACAACCCAGAAAATATGGGAAAATATGGGGGATATTTTTATTTGTGTGTATTTATTTGTGTGTCCCAGTTCCCCTTCAAAGAGGGGAGCTCCTGCATGCAGTGCGCCAGGCTCGCGCCGTGCCGGCGCGGCGGCGGCCCGAGCGCGGGCGCCTCGGGGCGGAAGGCCAGCGGTGGCCCCCGGGGGGTCGGCCGACATCGAGTGGTTGTCTTCCTTGCGCGAGCCGAACGCTGCAGTCGTCCAGGGTGCATCGGCGGCGCGCCCGGGGAGGAAGAAGCAGGGCGCCGGCCTGCTGACAGAAAGGGCGGCGGGGTTCTCCCAGGAGCCTCCCGGCCTTCGGAGGAGCCGCCTGGGCTCGTATCCCCTGGGCCGCAAGAGGCTCGTCAGGAGGCGTGAGGGCTTGTGAGAGAAGCCACGCCGGTTTCGGGGAAGGTGTCCCTCTTCTCACTGCCCCTTCCTTTGGGCTCGCCGCCTTTGGGTTAGGTCGGGCCTGTCCCTCTGCAGGGGGGATATTCAAAAATAGTCCAAAAATTGTATGGGGATGATTTTCTGACTATTTTTGAGTATGTTTTGAATATTGTTGGGGTATGTATTATTTTTTGGCGAAAATCCGCCTGTAGGGGGACAGGCCCGACCGAACCTTTGGGCTCGCCGCCAGGCTGTGCGATCCACGCGCTGTCAGAGGCCAGCGCGCAGGTCAGCACGGCACGAGCCCGCCGCAGGCCCACGGGTGGTCTGCGGGCGCATCGGCCCACAGCTCTCGCTGCGGAGCGTCGGCGGCGCGCGCAGAAGGTTCTTCGGGAGGGACCACGAACACAGAGACGCAATGAATCGTCGATTTCCCAGAGAATGCGGGAACATATGGGAGGTGTGGGGGAGAAAAAAAAAAAAAGCCCAGAAGACATGGGACAATATGGGAATCCTGTTGTTTGTGCCTCTTTGTTTGTGTGTCCCAGGGCCCCTTCAAAGGGGGGGTTCTAGGAGGCGGGGAGTTCCTCCGAAAGCATGTGCGTTTTTCAAAAAGGGCCTGGATTCCAATTGGCTATGGAGCGGGTTGTGTGTGTGTGTGTGTGTTGTGGGTGTCGCCGTTTTCGCGCCGTCTGTTTCCGTCGCCGTTTTGTTTGTTCCGGTTCTGGTCCCGATGATGGCGCGTGTGTTGTCAGTATGAATTAGCAGGCTGCTGTTTTGCGTCACCATCTAGAACCAGATTTCTGGAAATTGTTTAAAGAACGGCCTCACCTATTCCAAAGCATAGTAAGTTTGAAGGTTTTTGGGACAGTTCCCCAGATACTTGGAAGGCTCCTAAAAATGGCCCTGCCTTCTGAGAAGCCCCCCCCCCGCGCCTTCGCAAAAGGCCGCTCTGGAGCCCACTGAGCCCAGATCCGTACCCCCTACGCCACTTAGGACCTAGGATACGTGTTGCCCACTTATGAGTTAGGTCCGGCCAGATATAGCCCACCTGAGCGTCCACACAAAACCATTCGTCTACTTAGCAACCCTCGCAGTGATCAACGTACCCCTGCCTCTGGTGGTTTTCTGGCCATCCTTCGGGCCTCCGGCGGTGCGGGGCGATCTGGGCATCCTTGGAACGCCGGCGGCGAAGCGCAACCGTTTCAAAGCATTCCGAGGGTGGTTAGGCCAGATACAGCCCACCTTATCACCTACTGATAACCCCCAATCCACTCAGAAGCCCCCGCGGTGATGCAAGCAGGGTGTCAGCAGCCGTGGCCGGCTCGTGCTCTCGCCGCCTCAGCTCGGGTGCGCACCCGCATTGCGGGCGGCGCCGATGCCGCAGCCGTGCAAGCGGGCGGCGGAGCCGCACCTGGAGGGCGGCGGCGCCGCAGGTGGCGCCGAGGGTGGCCACAGGACCGGGGCGGCGCGTGCAGCCAAGGCGGTGACGACACGAGCAAGGAAGGAATGGGGAATTGCGACGACTAGGAGAGGTTCTCCAGTCCTCCCAGATGAGGGCTCCGAGCAGATGGGCTCCCATCCTGGCCAGGCCCATCCTGGGCCCAGGATCGGGGCATCCAGGTCTCCCAGATGGGGTCCGAGTTGACGGGGTCGGAGGGTCGCGCCGTATCGCCTCTCGGTCCTCATCCTACAGTGCCGCGGGGCCCCACAGGGCCACGTCGAAAACAATCTGGGCAGGGCTGCACTCGCACCTGCGTGCCCGGGTTTTCCCAACCCCGGCGCGCCCCGAAATGCCAGTCCTTCAGAGGCCGCTCTTGCCTATTCGCGCGACGTCCGCTGCTGGCGGATCACCTCACCGCTCCTGGCCAGGCCCATCCTGGGCCCAGGATCGGTGCATCTAGGTCTCCCAGATGGGGTCCGCGCAGACGGGGTCGGAGGGTCGCGCCGCATCGCCGAGGCATCGGCGATGCGGCTCGGTGCGGTGCCAGAGATTCTCCGCGCCGGAGTCGCCGATGCACCGCCGACGTCGCCGATGCATCGTCGCATCGGCGATGCGGCGCGATCCTCCGACCCCATCTACTCTTCAGTCAAGCACGTCCCTCTACAGAAGGACTCTGCAAAAATAGTCATAACATCGTACGGGGACGATTTTTAGATTTCTTCTTATTATTCTTATTTATCAATTTGTTCACCCTAAATCCGCCTGTAGGGGGACATGCCCAACCTAAATCTACTCGGACCCCACCCGGGAGGCTTTTAAATGGGCACGAAGATCAACTTCGGTTCCTGCCCATTTTTAGCAGGGGTCACTGTCGGTGTCGCCGCAGACGCGGTCCACTTGAACCCGGAGGCCGCTTTCCCTACAGCGGCCGCTGTCGGTTTGGGACATCATTTGATGTTGTGCATTGTGCCCATTTGCTCCGTACACATTTCGGTCGTCCAACATATTTTTCTTCGCGTTGGAAAAGTATTACAATTTGTAAGTCGATGTATATATGTGTGTATATGTTTTCGTCGCCTTCGGCTTCTCGTTGTTTTTGGCCTTCGGGGACTGTCTTCGGGCCCCGGGACCCTCAGAAACGGACCCGGTATGAAAAATCACCCCCAGGCAAATCCCCCAGACGATGTTTCGATGCGACCTTCAAAAGTGGCATTACTTTTCCGGGGGGGGGGGGGGGGCGGTAGGCCTCCCAGATTCGGGTATAGCCGGGGCCCCGCGTAAGGAGAGCGGGTAAGCGGTAGGGCCCACTAATCCAAGTGCTGACAATGCCCGACAGATGGGGATCGCGTCGTCGATGCATCGTTGACCGAGGGGGTCCAGCGCCGATGCAAGAAATCCGCTCGGATGTCCGGAAGTTTTCGTGGATCTTCTTTCTCAGAAGGCCCCTGCCTTCTGAGAAGTCCCCCCTGCCTTCTCAGAAGGCCGCCCCCTTCGCGCCACGTCATCGCGTGGCCGTCGCCAATCACTCGTGCGCTTCGTCGTCGTCCTTGAGATTTTGCTGATGTTGGTCCTCGAAATCGTTCCTGGCAGCAGAGCGCAATTTTGTTGTTCGCCTCCCCCCAATCCTCTCGGTCCTCATCCTACAGTACCGCGGGGCCCCACAGGGCCACGTCGAAAACAATCTGGGCAGGGGCTGCACTCGCACTTGCGTGCCCGGGTTTTCCCAACCCCGGCGCGCCCCGAAATGCCAGTCCTTCAGAGGCCGCTCTTGCCTGTTCGCGCGACGTCCGCTGCTGACGGATCACCTCACCGATCCGGGCCAGGCCCATCCTGGGCCCAGGATGAGTGCATCTAGGTCTCCCAGATGGGGTCCGCGCAGACGGGGTCGGAGGGTCGCGCCGCATCGCCGAGGCATCGGCGATGCGG